TCTAGTACGATATGGTTCGAGGAAAAACCAGGCGGAAGCTGGTGGGCATGTAACATCCCGAGCGCTGACGAGGGCGGGGAGTGATCTCCGGTGCAAAGAGGCACGAACAAGGAGCGGCTCCTGACAGGCTTCCAGCGGGGGGTTACATGCATGAATGAATCGAATCGACACCCGAAAGAGAGGGATTCCAAAGACTGTGCAGGTGTGAGACTGCACAGTTTGAGATAGCTGATAAGAATTAATTGGTACTACCTATACTAACAAGATGCATCTGCTTTTCGGTAGCCCGCATCGGAAGAACTCCATAATTAAGCGTGCTTGACTTGGAGCAATTTTGGGATGGGTGACCTCCTGGGAAGTTTTTCCAGAAAGTGTGCGAGTGAGGAAAAAGCACACTGAAAAGTCTCATGTTAGTATGTGGGGATAGTCATTGATTCTTGAAGCGGTCGGGCGTTACACTCCTTCCTATTTAAACTCCATGGTCAAGCGTTGATAGTCCACTATGATTGGACCTAACAATTGCAGCCATTGTACGCCCAATACCATGTCAAAACCTTGGATTGGAAGCACATGAAAATCCACTAGAAATATATGTTGCTGAATTTTACAGGAACTGCAGCACAAAGTCCTTCACATTTTAGTATCTGACTATTTCCCACCATAACATTAAATTGCCTGTTAGTGGATATGGGTAGATTCAAGGATGACACTACTTGTGGTTGGAGAAAGTTATGTGTACTACCCCCATCTATTAAAAGCAGCATTTCTGATTTGCCAATATGGCCATGAAATCGTAGTGTTTGAGGTACAACAAAGCCTGATAAGGCATGAAGGCTTATTTGAGGTGTGTATGTTTGGGTTAGTATCGGTTCATAGCTCTGCATGCTTAGCTCCTCAAATGAGCTAACATCAGTCACTACTGAATGGTCATCATCAGGTACAATCAATATATGCACTGATGCTTTACACTTATGGCCACGAAAGTATTTATCTCCACAGTAAAAACATAAATTTTTGTCCCTCCTCTCTTGTATCTGGCTTTGAGTTAGGCGGTTGATTATTTCTTTGGGTTGTAAGGGGTTTGTGGTATTGCTATTAGTGTTTTTATATATGGAATTGTGGCTTGTAACAGTGGTTGCTGGTGTAGGTAATAATGGAGGTTGAGATGAATGTAGTTTGGGATAAGTGTATTTGGAAGAAATTTTGGCTTCTTGCATTTTGGCTATTGCTATTGCAGCTGTAAAGCTGGTAGGAATTGACTTTATGCTGGATTGTGGTTTTCAGGCCAGAAATGAAACAACTCAACAGAAAAGATTCGGGAAGACCATTTACCTTGTTGGATAAGGTCTCAAATTGCTCCTGATACTCAATGACCGAACCTTGTTGGGTCAATTTTGCCAATTGTCCTTGGTAGTTCTCCCACTCAGAAGGACCGAATCTCATTTGTAAGGACTGGAGAAACAAAGGCCATGAAACAATGGTGGTATTTTTTCGAAGCCACTGATACCAAGCCAAGGCTTTTCCTTCGAAGTAGAAAGGTGTGATTCTTAAACGTTGAGAATCATTCATTTCATAGAAATCGAAGAATTGTTCCAGTTTGAAGATCCAATCTTGAGCATCACTGGACCCATCATATCGAGGAACTTTGAGTCTGAGGCGACGAGTTGCTTGAATGTCATTCTGGTTTGTGTGCTTCTGTTGGTTCTCTGTTGCTGAAGACGAAAAACTCCTATCATGAAAATTGTCGAAGATTGCATCCAATTTGAATGTGAGTTCCTGAAACTTCTTGTTCATCTGTTCCTTCAGCATCTCAACTTCAGATTGGGTTTGATCCAATCGATCATCCATGGAACGTGATCGTGTCTCTGGAGGCATGGTTGCAGATTGAAAGCACCAATTGATAGGAATGCCTATCACTAAAAATGCAGAATTAGGGAGAGAAAGATGAGACAGAGAGATGAGAAATGAATTCTGTTTCTTATTTCTTATTCGATGACGCTTCAATACATGTTCTCCTCATCTTATATACTGATGAGATCAATTCATTCTATTACACAAATGGTTATGCTTTCCTAACTAACTAACTGAGTTAAGTATCCACGTCATCACGAAGCCTCAGTGGAAGTTTCTTGATTCGTTTCCCTCTTCCCATTGCCATGCTGTCCTCTTGAGCTTCTGTTGTGGTTTCCACGTGCATGTCTTGTTCTATTATCATATCAGATGAAGTACTATGGCTTCATTTAATCCCAAGTTTGGTGAACAGGATATGTAGCATGAGATAGTCTATCATATTATATCTTTATATGTTGTTTTGTGAGTTAGGATATGATAAATTTATAACCTTTATTAATCTCATGCAATAAGAGATAAATATAATAGTGGAGTGGTTGTACATATGACATTTGATATTGGGATGCATTTTTATTAGTTGAGCCTTTGATTAGTTGTTCATAATTTATTTGTTCCTCTGTCATGCACGGTCTTGTTTATTACTTGGCGTTCTTCCTTACTCTTGTGGTTTGCATTTGTTTAAAAAATTTACTAATTTATGATATTTTTATTGTGTTAGCATATATTGACAATAGCATTGTAGAAAAGGTCTGATTTGTTGTGCGACATGTTTGGTCCGGTATCAAAAGATGTTTTAAGATTTGTCCTTTATAGATCCATTTAATCTTGAAGTAAATTGTCTAGGTCCGAGGATTGATATGTCAGGTTGTTGGGTATGCAGTGAAGTATGCAAATATTATGGATAAATTTTGAAAGTTCAGCTTTTTTGCCCCAAAAGATTTCAGTTGGATCAGCATATCACCCGAACCCCGTGATTCAAGCATGTTTCCGTCTCTGCCTGATGATAATATTTGCCACCGTTTATCAGTTCCTCTTGCCGAGAGATTTGGGTAATTTGGGTATGTGCTGCAAAAATTTGAACACTTTTGTGGACTTTGACAAAATATTTTGTTTAAAATTATAAGTTTTAGAATTATATAAATAAATTTAAAAATGTTAAAATTAATTTTTAAAAAATTATATGATATTTTGTTAAAAATGGCATTTTAGTCTATTTATATCATATCTTGATGATATCTGATTCACCTCAAACATATGATAGGATAACATAATCCTATCATATTATTAATCTAGTGCACATCAAACACAGGATATGATATGAGTTTATTATGCCCATATCCTTATTCAACTCTCTTATCATATATATTCATCGAACGGGGCCTTAAAGTCGATGGAACAGTGACCAAAGTGCCACTGTTCCAGAACTTAATTCCCTAAATGCCACGCCAACAGTGAATATACTAATATGCCACGAGGGCAAGTTCGCCCACAATAGTAGCGAACTGTGTGTGATGATGTGTCACATTTCTGGTGGACATGTAATTCACTACTGTCACCAGCGAACTCCATAGCAATTAATGCCCTGCACCTTCTCACCTGTCAAGCCACATGGCTTGCATGCAACGAAGGTCGCTGGCCACATCAGCGAACTCTGTGTAACGGCTAGCATGCCACGTGGCTGACATGCACCAAGTTCGCCTCCCCTCTCTCTCTCTCATTTTTCTTCTCTCAATCTCTCCCTTTCTAATTTTTCTTTCTCTGTAATTTCATTTTTTTGTCTTCATTTGAGGTTAGTAATTTATGATTTAATTTATTTTTTTTACAGTTTTTTATTGTTATTTAATTGTTGTTAATTATTGTATATAGGATGAAACATTAGGTTAGAAGGCATATTATTTGCTTTATTATTTTAATTAGTTTAATATTAGTAGTTTAGTAATTGCATGTTAATGTTAGTAGTTTAATATTTTATAGTAATGCTTTATTTAATAATATGAATTCTTTGCTATTATTTATAGGGTTTAAATTTAGGTTATAAGTTTTTTATATTATTGTTGCTAAATTTATTAATAATTTTTTTAATTAATCTATTTAATAAATTGTTTTATATGCATTATTTATTTATAGGGTTAAAATGTAGGTTAGATAATTTTTATATTAATGTTGTTAAATTTTGTATTTAATAATTTGTTAATTATGCAATAAATAAAAATATTGAATTAAATAAAATTATTTAGTTCTAGGATTGAAAAATAGGTTAGAAAATTTTGGCATCGGCTTACAATATGTATGTTAATCTTATTAGGTGTAGTAATTTATATTAACGTATTATTTAATAATATTAATTGTTTGATATTATTCATAGGGTTGAAATGTAGGTTAGAAAATATTTGTTTGAATGTTGTTAAATTTTGTATTTAATAAATTCTTGATTATGCAATAATTAATATATTTGAATTAAATAACATTATTTAGTTATAGGATAGAAATATTTTTACAATAATCTTTGTATTTATTTATTTATTCATTAATAATTAGTATTAATTTTATATATTATATAATTTTTGTATAATATAATATATTTCTTAGTAATTAGTATTTTTTTAAATATAATATAATTTAAATAAAATATAATATATTAAATAAAAATCTTCATTTCTTTATTTATTTCTTAGTAATTAGTATTATTTTTTTAAATTATTATATAATTTTTTATAATAAAGTATATTATTGTATTTTATAATTTAATATATTATATAATTTTCGTATTACACAATTAGTCTTGTTAAATTATTGTATTTTATAATTTTTTATTATGCAATTGTTGTTAGTAATAATCAAATAACATTATTTTGTTATAGGGTTGAAAATACCATTGTAGAATATTAAGTGTGTAATATTATTTATTGATTATGCATTATTATCCAACATTAATTATGTCATTATTAGCGTTATTAATTGTGCTAAATATATTAATGTTGTTATTATTTATTATATATTATGTAATATTTAAACTATTTATGGATTAAAGAATATTTAATTAATGTTGAATATTTATTTATTACTTAGTAATTAATTAGTATTTATTTTTTTATATTATATAATGTTGTAATTGTAATATTTGATTTATTTTTTTTGTAAATAGATCCATGGAGCAGCAGGACCTGCAGCAGACTTTCATTGACCCTGGTCCATCGTTGCGTTCTCTCTTGACGTTGCAGGAGAAACACATCTCCACGCATGTGTGGAACACCTCAGATGATGCACAGGTACGTGATCGTGTCCTCAATGTCAGACACGCTGCGACACACGATCACTTGGATATACCAGAGGATATCCAGCCTTACCTTCAGCAGACTGGATTTTATCACGTTGCACGTCTGCGCAACCATGAGGTTAGTGAGACGTAGACTTTATAACATCGACATTACATGTTGTATGTTTCATAAATTATGATAAAATGTAATTTTTTTAAAAGAGATTGATCACTCACTCATCTCGGCCCTTGTTGAGAGATTGCGGCCTGAGACGCGCACATTTCATATGCCGATGGCTGAGGTTACGATTACCTTGGAGGATGTACACCATCTGCTGGGGTTGCCCACAGATGGAGAGGTTGTATGTGGCCGCGTTGGAGGTCATCCTTTCTCGCAGCTTTCTACAAATCTGTTAGGAGTAGAGCCCGCCCGGCAGCGCGACTTTCATAAGAACCAAATTTCGCTGTCATTTCTTCGGGAATAGTTTCTGCATTACCATACCTATGCCGACACTGTAGCTGGCCGTATGAGATACACACGTGCTTTGATCATGCGCATATTGGGTGGCACGTTGTTCGCTGAGATAGGGATTGACCTCGTTGTAATCTCAATTTCTTGTATATTATTTTCTTCAGCTCGATATATTTGCAACGCGGACTCATGCGGAACATCTTCGTATCTCCTTCAAACACTTGACCGTTTGGTCCAAAATATCTTCTCCCATTGTAATATACAATGCATATTACATAATTGTTACTCTCACTCATTATGTACAGAAATAGCAAAAAATAACAAACAACAATGGATCCTTTGAAGGAAAACGCACGAGAATGACAAAGTGGGTCTGGGAGGGGTGGGTTTAAATAGCACTGAGTTCGCTACCTAGGTCAGCGAACTGTAACTGTCGGCAGGTAGTTCGTTTACCTATGCAGCGAACTTCTGGGGAGCTGCCATGAGGCACAAAGTTCGTTACAGGGTCCAGCGAACTGTGTTAGTGACTGCCACTTGGCACTTAGTTCGCTATCCCATTCAGCAAAGTGTGTGCCAATTGACACATGACAAAGAGTTCGCCTTGATTCCAGCGAACTAGGTGCATGTCAGACACGTGGCACACCTAGTTCGCTCTGTGGGGTAGCGAACTTGTCATATGTTTCAGCATTTATTGCTGTTAGAGATCATGCTTTAGAAACTGCAATTTGATATTTTTAATTATTTAGGAGTCAGTTTTCATTATGTTTTAATGAGTTGTTATGTAGTGGGCAGTTTACTTTTTTGCTTTAATGGGTAGTTATATAGTGAGCAGTTTTCTTTTCTACTTTGATGAGAAGTTATGTAGTAGTGAGCAGTTTCTTTTTATTATTTTGCTTTATAAGTTGTATTGTCACACATCAATAAAATGTACTTCATTTCTAAAACCAACAACTGGTATCAGAGCTATCTTCCTAAAGGGATCTGTGTGTCAATTTGAGGCGCCATGGAAACTGAAGCGAATCTTACGTCAATTGCTCCGCCAGTATTTGATGGAGAAAACTACCCAATTTGGGAGGTACGCATGGAGACGTACTTGGAGGCGTTGGATCTTTGGGAAGCAGTGGAAGAGGACTATGAAATTCTGCCTCTTCCAGCTAATCCCACCATGGCACAAATAAAAGTGCAGAAGGAGAAGAAAACTAAGAAGTCAAAAGCAAAAGCCTGTTTGTTCGCTGCAGTTTCACCCACTATTTTCACTCGTATCATGACTTTGAAGTCAGCAAAGGAGATATGGGATTATCTCAAGACTGAATACAAGGGAGATGAACGCATTCGAGGAATGCAGGTGCTGAATCTAGTTCGCGACTTCGAGATGCAGAAGATGAAGAATGATGAATCTATTAAGGAGTATTCTGAGAGGCTTCTTAGTATAGCAAGCCGGATCAGATTGCTGGGCTCTTCTTTTCTAGAGTCAAGAATTGTTGAAAAGATCCTTGTAACCGTTCCTGAAAAATTTGAGGCCACAATTACATCCTTAGAGAATACTAAGGATATGTCAAGCATCACTCTTGCTGAATTGTTGAATGCTTTGCAAGCACAAGAGCAAAGAAGAGCCATGAGGCAAGAAGGTGTCATTGAAGGAGCTCTACCTGCAAAATATCATGAAGCTGGTAAAAATAAGAAAGTGCAAGAAGGTAATTCTGGTTCTTTTTCTTCAAGTAGCAGGAATGGAAATTCCAAGGGGAAATATCCTCCTTGTCACCATTGTGGGAAGAAAGGTCACCCTCCTTTCAAATGTTGGAGGAGGCCAGATGCAAAATGCTCCAAATGCAGCCAATTTGGGCATGAGGCAGTGGTATGCAGAAATAAGAATCAAATGCAGGAGGCAGATGCTCAAGTTGTTGACGAAGAAGAGGAGGATCAACTGTTCGTAGCCACTTGTTTCTCCAGCAATGAATCTAGTGAGAGCTGGCTGATTGACAGTGGGTGTACAAACCACATGACTCATGATCGAAGTCTTTTCAAGGAGTTAAAACCCACACCAATCACAAAAGTCAGAATCGGTAATGGTGACCACATTTTGGTAAAGGGAATAAGAACTGTTTCTATCCTAACAAATTCAGGTACAAAGTCAATCTCAGATGTTCTTTTTGTACCTGATATTGATCAAAATTTGTTAAGTGTTGGACAGCTCATTGAAAAAGGATTCAAAGTGTTTTTCGAAGATAGAGTTTGTCTCATTTAAGATGCAAATGGAAAGGAAATCATCAAAGCAAAAATGAGAGGCAAGAGTTTCTCATTTGAACCAGTCAAGGAGGAGCAAGCTGCTGTTTCCACAGATGAGAATGTGACTGAGACTTGGCACAAGAGACTAGGCCATTGTCACCTCTCAAATATGTTGTTGATGAAGAAGAAGGAGTTGTCAAATGATTTACCAACCTTTGCAGATCATTTACCATATTGTAATGCCTGTCAATTTGGCAAACAAAAAAGAAATCCATTTCCCAAGTCAAGTTGGAGAGCCTCCAATAAGCTGCAGTTGATCCACTCAGATGTTGCTGGTCCTCAAAGAACTCAATCACTTGCAGATAGTCGTTACTATGTTATTTTCATAGATGATTTTAGCAGAATGTGTTGGATTTTTTTCATGAAGCATAAATCAGAAGTGGCTAGCCTGTTTTGGAAGTTCAAGAAAACGGTGGAGAACCATAGTGGTTGTAGCATTCAATGCATTAGGACTGACAATGGAAAGGAGTATACTTCAGAACAATTTAATATTTTTTGTGAAGAATCTGGCATTGAACACCAACTCACTGCTCCATACACTCCGCAACAAAATGGAGTAAGTGAGCGAAGAAACAAGTACATAATGGAAATGACTCGATGTATGCTTCACGAAAAAGAGTTGCCAAAGAATTTCTGGGCTGAAGCAGCAAGCACTGCTGTCTTCTTGCAAAATAGGCTGCCTACAAAGGCATTGGAGGACAAAACTCCATTTGAGGCATGGTATGGCTATAAACCCTCACTCAATTTTCTTAGAGTGTTCGGTTGTATGTGTTTCTCTCATATTCCACAGGTAAAGCGTGATAAGCTTGACCAAAAGTCAGAACCAGGAATCTTTGTTGGCTATAGCTCTTCCTCCAAAGCCTACAAAGTGTATCAACCTCAAACTGGAAAGATACTTATTAGTAGGGATGTTTATTTTCATGAAGAAGAGAAGTGGAACTGGACACAAGCACAAGAGGCATCCATGAGTAAGCAGAAATCAAGTCCTCTCATCCAAATAAGCAAAGAGCAAGGAGTGGAACAGTGGCAAGAAGAGTTAGAAGATGACCCACCAATTCGTGGAACAAGGTTGTTGTCCAATATTTATCAAAGATGCAATGTAGCCATTTGTGAACCTGCAGGATATAAAGAAGCTATTCAAGACCAGAATTGGAAGAAGGCAATGGAAGAAGAGTTGTTAATGATAAAAAAAAATAATACTTGGGAGCTTGTTGACAAACCAAAGGATAGAGCAGTTATTGGAGTAAAATGGGTGTTTAGAACCAAGTTAAATGCAGATGGCTCCATCAACAAGTACAAGGCTAGACTTGTAGTCAAAGGATATGCACAAATTTTTGGTGTTGATTATTCTGAAACCTTTGCACCTGTGGCTAGAATGGACACTATTCGACTCTCGCTAGCTGTTGCTGCTCAAAAAGGCTGGAAAGTATTTCAACTAGATGTAAAATCTGCATTCTTGAATGGTATTTTGCAGGAGGAGATTTATGTTGAACAGCCCGAAGGATTTGTGAAAGAAGGTGAGGACGAGAAGGTCTACCTGCTCAAGAAAGCTCTATATGGCTTGAAACAAGCACCTAGAGCATGGTACAGCAAGATAGATGAGCATCTATCAAGCTTAGAATTCAAGAAAAGCACTTCAGAAGCTACTCTGTATATAAAGCACGAAGATGATGATCTACTTATAGTCTCTCTTTATGTTGATGATCTCTTAATCACAGGTGGCAATGACAAGCTTGTTGAAAAGTTCAAAAGAGAAATGATGCAGATTTTTGAAATGACAGACCTTGGACTCATGACATACTTTTTGGGAATGGAGATTAAGCAGTCAGAAGATGAAGTTTTCATATGTCAAAAGAAGTATGCCAAGGAAATTCTCAAGAAATTTCATTTGGAGGATTGCAAGGCAATGACCACTCCAATGAATCAAAAGGAGAGCTTGAGCAAGAATGATGGAGCTGACAGAGTTGAAGAAGGCTACTTTCGAAGTCTGATTGGTTGTCTAATGTACCTCACAGTATCAAGACCAGACATTTTATTTTCTGTAAGTCTTTTATCTCGTTTTATGCATTGTGCTACTGAGATGCATTTAAGAGCAGCAAAAAGAGTAGTGAGATACATCAAAGGAACGATTGATTTTGGTGTGAAATTTAAGAAAAGTCAAGACTTTAAGCTCTTGGGATTTTCTGACAGTGATTGGGGAGGTTCTGTGGATGATATGAAAAGTACCTCTGGTTATTGTTTTAGTCTTGGCTCAGGAATTTTCTCATGGTGCTCTAAAAAGCAGGATGTTGTAGCACAGTCCACAGCAGAAGCGGAATTCATAGCTGCTACGGCAACAGCTAATCAAGCAATTTGGTTAAGAAAATTTTTATGTGATTTACACCTGAAGCAATGGAACAATACTGAAGTTCATATTGATAACCAAGCAGCAATTGCCATTTCTAACAATCCAGTTTTTCATGGGAAAACCAAACATTTTAAGATCAAGTTTTTCTTCTTAAGGGAAGTTCAGAAAGAAGGTGAAATCGTACTTGTCTACTGCAAGTCAGAAGACCAATGGGCAGACATATTCACAAAACCATTACCTACAAGCAAATTTGAAGATCTAAGGGAGAAGATTGGTGTTTGCAGCTCCAAAAGCAAGGAGTGTTAGAGATCATGCTTTAGAAACTGCAATTTGATATTTTTAATTATTTAGGAGTCAGTTTTCATTATGTTTTAATGAGTTGTTATGTAGTGGGCAGTTTACTTTTTTACTTTAATGGGTAGTTATATAGTGAGCAGTTTTCTTTTCTACTTTGATGAGAAGTTATGTAGTAGTGAGCAGTTTCTTTTTATTATTTTGCTTTATAAGTTGTATTGTCACACATCAATAAAATGTACTTCATTTCTAAAACCAACAATTGCATCCAAGTTCGCTTGTGTCAGTAGCAAACTTGTGCACCACCAAGAAACTGACACATCAGCATGCACAGTTCGCTACAATCCCTAGCGAACTTGCCTACGTGGCAGTTTGGAAAAAAAGACTGTTGGTGTGACATTTAGGTAATAAAGACTGTGAACAGTGGCAAAATGGGCACTGTTCCAAAACCGATCCACTTCACTAAAGATAAGACCTGGTGGTGGTTGTTCAATTTTAAACAAATAGCAGCTTTTGTAATTGAATGTTATGATTTATCAATATTTTTAATATATGATTGTATCATTATCATTACATTCCTAAAGGTTACAACTATTAGTACATTCACTATGTACCTTCAATAAAATCATGAACACAAAATTTAAGTGTTGCTGCAAAGAGGAAAGGGATGATCACCACTCCAATGACACTTTATGTAATCTGTCTGTGCTTTTACCTTCCTGAACGTTACAAGTTTGCTTCATATCTACTTTGATTAGATTATGAACTCAAATTGTCACTGTCACTGCAAAGAAAAAAGAGATGATCACCATCTCGAATGACACTGATATCATCTATCTCTGCGTTCTCTGTATTCATTACTTTCGTAGGCTTGGAGCCTCCAAACTTTTCTCCTGCAATTTGACAAGTTGATAGTCAGTATCTAGAAAATAAGAGAACTACACTGTTCTTTTTAACGAATAGTATTTGACCCAGAAAGACAAATGCTTATTTTTTATTTTTTTTTAATTCCAGGCCCTAATTAACCTTTGCCGAGTCAGGTCTCCCTGTATCCCCACGACTTGAGCAGGGAAAGAACCCCACACAGATATGAGACTAATCCTGAGTTGAGCGTCACGATTATCCAACTCTAACCTCAACAGTCTTCTCCAGAATTCGAACCCATGTTCTTTTGGCAGTTCAACTTGGGGCTATTGCCACTTGAGCCAACCCCAGCTTATCTTTTTTATGATGTACTTAAAGTTGCAACATCCTCATTATTTTTCACTTTTTCCGGTTGTTTAAGTCTATGCTTACCAGCAATCTTGAGCAGCTCTTCTATTGAATCAGGTAAGATTATCAGCTTCCCATGCTGTCCCTGCAAGGTAGTTCCATGTTTGCCAAGAAAGTGAATGGTAACTCTCTTATTGATGAACATTGCTGCTTCTCTATCATTTGGATGGTTAGAGTTGCTTGAATAGAAGTTTGTGTACACTTTTGCTAAAGGGAAGTTGGTAGTTCTAAGAACATCTTCTCTTGTTTTTCTGAATTGGTCAGTCATAGCATGGTTGAGGGTTGCTGGCTCCACTAACTCTATTATATGTTCATCTAATTTCTTCCCATTTTCAAGATTCATTATGAGGTCAGAAATGCTCTTGTTTTGTTTCTGGTCTACAAGAGCTTTCTGTTTCCATCTTATGGGACTATGGTTCTTTTCATTTGCTTCTTTTTCTAGCTGAATTTCAACCATGTCTGGATGACCTTTGTGTGCAGGACCATAATGATCTCTTTTTCCATCCTCAGGAATCATGTTACGCAATCTGGCTTCTCCATGTGAATTATCTGTATATGCATGGGAAGAGTTTCCTCTTGTGTTGTCCCCATCATGAAGAACCAATCCAGGGTCTGTAGGTGGTTCAGAACCCAATCCTTCATGTCCCTTTAACATCTGTCAATATGGATAGCAAATTATTTATGTGATAAAAGAAAATGAAGTTTACACAAAATTTTCTAATAGCAATTACCATAAAAAGATTTTTCATTATATGTTTTGCTTCTTCAGGATTTGCATGTATGGCATTCATTAATGAAGTTCTGCTGAGTCTTAAAATTTGAGAAAGCTCAGTGGTCCGAACTGTGAAAGGCTGTGGTCTATTGTATAAAACTCCAATCTCTCCAAATGTATCTACTGCAATTGCCTTCTTCAGAACCTGAATTGAACATGTCAGGCTAGGATGTTATATTCAGTTGTTTCATTGTGTACTTTAAATATAAAGGTAAATCCTTCTGATGCACAAGGCTCCCTGACTTCTTAGAGTAGGGAAGAGGGACAATTGTATGCAACATTTCCCATGCATCTTTTGCAAAAAAGTTGTTTCTCATAGACTCAAACCCGTGCCATTCCAGTCACAAGAAACAACCTTACCGAAGGCTTGCATTCACTCTAAATATAAATAAGAAAAAAAAATTCAGTGTTTGAATGTTATGACATACTTGATCATGGCCATCAACATGGCAAATGAGGTCCTGCAACAAATAACCATTTGAAAAGCAATCTCTTCAATTAGTGAGCATTTTGAAAGATTCATTCAAGGTTATTTGACAACTCATGCTTTAGCTCACTCACCACTGCCCCTGAAACCAGCACATAAAGATCTGTAGGAGACTCGTTTTGTAGTATCACATCTTCCTTTGGTGGGAAATACTCAGCTTCCATTTCTGTAACCTATTGTTAAGAGGGTTACTTGCATCAAACTTTTTCAATTTAGTTCCTTATAAATAGACAAAGTAACTAATAAATCTACTTTCTTCTCTTAGCTAAAGAAGGAGGAAGAAGGGAAAGTGGATAATAAATAAATTAATAGGGACAAGGTTTTGCTATGGTAAAAACAAATAAGGGATGTGCAGTATTACCAGTTGGAAAAGAAAATCATGTGAAATTCCATTGAAGAGGTAGACCTTCTGCAAAACAGAAAAATATAGATGGTATGCAATGCTTGCACGAATTGCCTTTGGCATACCATTTAATGTTTCTTGCTGGTTCAATCCTTCTGTTTTGAACCTCAAACACAAGTGTGACAACATTTGATCATGTATATGATGAGGCAGATGATTTCTTGTTGAAAATTCTGAAGCTGCTCTGATTGTATCTCTCTGTTGCACCAAAACCAAGATTCTCTTCATTGATGGGAAAAAATACATTTACATGTATTTGTATAAAATAAAAATGTATTAACAAAACAAAAATGAAGGCTTGTGCCTTGGAGTGAATCTTAGAATCGGATAACTTCTTGGCAACTTAAACTTTTTGTAACTAAAAAATAAAACCGAAGGTAACATGAATCATATAAGTTATTAATTAGAGGAGAATTTTTTTTTTTTTTTTTTTTTTTATCGAGAATCACCGTTAGGAATATGGTAGGAAAATAAGTTTCTTAGGAATATTATCAAAAAATTGTTTGGTAGGTCAAAATATTGTCTGAAATATTGAATTAATTTTCTTGATATTATGTTTGGTTGTGTTAAATTTTCCCTTGCAAGTATCTTACAATATCACCTTCATTCTTAGATGGTATTTTCAGAAAAATTTATACATAAAATAAAATCACTGGAAAATTAGATTCTCGAAAATTTTTTAGAAATCTCGTACCAAACGTAGACAAATAAAATTATCACCCTCAATTTTTGAGGAATCATAAAAAAAAACTTCTAGCAAATGCCCGTGTAATATATTTTCTCACGGAGAGCCTATGAATTTGAAGGGTGAATTTTGATATCAGATAAAAAATATTTCAATTTAAAAACTTAAGTTATTAAATGATTATATTAATAATTTTAATATATTTTTCTAACACAAGGGGGTATGATATAAGCTACATGTTCCAGTAAAAAAAAAAAATTCTATTATTATTAGGCTTTGCTAAAGCTACTCGACAAAATAAATGACTTTTCTTTGTTGTGTATCTTTCTTTTCTTTTTTTTTCTTTTTCCTGAGAAGCTATTTATCTCACCCTTCAATTGCAGGACTATTTTTGGTTGGCATCTCTTGGAATAGTTCCAGCAATAAAGTGTTTTTAGTGGGATTTCTCAGCCACAATATTCCCCAAGTTGAATTAAAATATATGATAGCGTAACCATTCGAGACGCACCGCATCCTTGGACAAATTAAGGGTCTGTTTTATTTGTTAAAGTTAGGGGTGTAAATTAGGCTAAGCTAGGCTTTGAGTTAAATAGGTTAGGTCTATGTAAAAATTCTTAGGATTGGCCTGACCTTTTAGCCTGTGTAGGCCCAGATTACAAGTTTAGTCTGACCTGTATTTAAAAAATAAAAGCCTTGGTTTAGGCCTATTAGCCTGTTTAAGCCTATTACACATTTAATAATTAAAAAATAACTAAACTAATATAACTTTATTATTCAAAATTATTAAAGTAATAATTTTATTTAATATAAATAATATGATTTAGGCCGGCCTGCTGACTTATAGGCTCGACATGTACAAAAAAGTCTATAACCTGTTTTCTAAATAGGTTTTTTTTAAAAACCTAGGCCTGTTCTATTTGACTCTATGTAATAGGCCAAGTCTGGCCTAATATAGGCTACGCTGTAGGCCGGCCTAGCCTATTTACACACCTAGTTAAAATGCATATAATTGTACTTATTTAATTATAAAAAGAAGAAAGATATTGTAATAATCAATTGGTATTATTACAAATATTACTACCAATCAATTTCATCGATTATGTTGATCCAATGGTTATATTTATTTCTATCTTGTATGATTCTGATTTCCCGTATTTAATACTTTATATTTATTTCACCTTTGTATGATTATGATTTTTTATATTTAATGCTTTTACATTAAATATGAGTAATCATAACCATACAAAGATGAAAATAAATATAACATTTAGATCAACATAATCGATTTAACGGTGATATTTATTGGTAGTAACATGATAGTAATACTAATTGATTGTTACAATGTCCTGCCCATAAAATAAATATAAATAACGAGCAAAAAGCACCTCAAATAATAACACAAATCTCTAACAAAAGTTTTGATTCGACGGGAGATGAGCTTGGAAATTGGAATGATTGATTCTTTTTCTCTAGTCTATAGATGATGAGAAAACAATCACCAGCGTTTTAAAAATACGAAATTCTAAAAGTACGTAGAAAAAAATTATAAATTTATCTTTCAATATCTTTTTTGGGAACATATTTCAATATTTTTTGTTATTAATTTTGTCAAAATTATTTCTTATTTGTATGTATTGTCCTTAATCTCTCTCTCACTACTCAAAGTTTTTGGTGTGCCACCGGCAACATCACATGGAACCATGTTGAAAACAATGCTTGGTTTGAGTTTGAAAATAAAAAAGTTAGAATCAAACTTTCTACCTTTGTCTCCAATGATAGTTTGTGTCAGTGTTAATGATGATTGACATTTCATTCTAATTCTAATGCTTGAAAATTCTAAATTCTGTTGGCAAGTAAGGATAAAAACTAAGCAGTATAAGAAGCTTAAGTTTGAGAGCACATACAAAATTTCTGGTGTGACTTGTCCAGTGAACTACCAAGTTTGTCATGTTTCCAATGATGTATGATGTTAACCCCAAGTTAAACAACATGTAAAAGATATCAAATAGCATCTCTCTGGTGTTTTCAGCATGCAAATCTCCATATCCAGTGGTAGTAAGTGTGACAATGGACCAATATATGGATGTGACATATCTGTTCCAAAGACTTAATTCTTTAAAATTTGGGTACGCTGAACCAATCCAGGTCCTTTTGGAATCAGGGTACCTATCTGCAATTAGATAGTTAAAGCATCCAGCACAGTGCACAGCAAACAAGGTTACCTGAAATATGATTTTCATATTGGTGAAAATGATCTAGGAAGTACCTTGAGATTGTGATAAAGTTTGCAAGGGTAGATAGTAAGCAGCCTTATACTTACATTTTTGTAAAAAAACTGTTTTTCATACTCGAATCTGTGACCTTCCGATCACAAGAAGCAAACTTATCGTTGCTTGCCCTCGTGATGGAAGAAATAAAAAATATGGGGTTTAGGGTCTTACAGCTATGAGCTTTGAGCACCTAGTCCAGAAGTAATTGAAGCGAATGTCCTTCTCAAGTCTGAAGGAAATTAGAGGAGCTAGTAAGCACTTTGATACTCTTACAATTTGAAGTGTTGTGAAGAAATCCAGAACCATAAGGTTGAGTATGATATGATTGTGGACCTTGCAAACAATGAACTAACTCGTCTCAGGCGCCATAATCGAAGCATGTTAAGAGCTTTGTAGCCAATCTCACTGCTATGATTCGTGAAGAGGAGGCTGATGGATTGAAATGGTGCAGTTGAACATACATCAAAGATAAACCATGTAGATATGTACCTGAAAGTTTGGTACAGCTATTTGAAGTAAGCAATGTTTTTAATTAACATTCATTTCACTAAAAAGCTGCAAATCCTGGTGCACAAGATTGCTCGACTTGCAAGGCTAAGGGTGGGGTCGATTGTACGCAGCTTTACCCTTGCATTTTTTGCAAAGAGACTATTTCTCAAACCTTTCGGTTATAAGGAGCAATCTTATCATTGCTCTGAGGCTCGTTCTCAACATTCATTTTAGTAAAGGAAGAAACTGTGAAGTAGGTAGATATATGTACCTGACTGCAATTCTTTTAGGATCATCAACAAGAAGGTAAGAATGGCTATCTAGATATGCAACAAAGAATGTTAGCATGATGTCAACGGCAAAGAAGCCATTGACTATGTTGTCTATGATGAATAGTGTGTCTTGTTTATAAGGAAGAAAGGCAAATTCAAAGGGGCAAATCCATGCAGAGTAAATGACTAGAATGATCAGTAACATCTCCCATGCCCTGTAACAAAAGCATATATGAGAAGAAACAACAAGTGTGTTATTGAGAGTTATTGTATTGCAATGGTGTAAATAGTTATCACCTATAACGTGGATTGAAAGGGGAGATTATGTATTTTCGAAGTCTAGTTTCCTGGTTAATTCTGGCTCCAAGGGATGGCAAGAGATCATTAGACATAAAGCTGCTATATGGAAAACTTCCCATTTGGAATTCATCTACACAGAACCTCTGGAAGAATTTTTTGGCACTGGAAAATGACATGGTTGTTGGGTTTGAATCCTCAAGGCGATAGAAGATGTAGTTGAGTTCTTGTGGCAATGAATCCTCTAGAAAAGAACATATTTATAGTAGACATTCTGTTGACCTGGATGTTCTGGTTTTAGACCTCTTTTTCCCCTCCCTTTTTGTTGAGATGCCTTTGATGTATTTTAAAGGAATAAGTAAAAGGTTTATGGGCCAAATTTGAAAGAAAATATAGAAAAGATGGGAGATAAGATTCTGGAGGTAAAATCTTCCATCTTGTATTTACAAAGTTACACGATAGCAGACAGAAGTCTTTCTGAAATGTTGATGATAATTCTGCATCAACCTTTTGTGTGACAATCAAACTAGAACTTATATTTCCTTGAATCAAGTATTTTAGTATTTTATGAGAGGATAAAACAGATAGAAGTGTGCTCTTATCAGATAGGGTCGTATAAGGATCATAAAACAACTAGCTAATATTTTTATCTAGGCACTTGATGGGAATAGAGTAGATTATATTTGTAACAAGGTGAGCATGAACATATATGCTGTAACTTGAAGGAGAATACAAAGAGGGTACTTTGATTTTTTTCATAATTATTTGTACTACTCGTACTACATTGGAAATACATTAATTATAGAGTAAATTCCTTTTTTGGTCTTCAGCAAATTTCGCGATGCCCGATTTAGTCCCTAGCAAATAAAAAAGTCCATCGTGGTCCCTAAGAAATTCAAAATGGACTCATTTTAATCATTTTCTAAAAAATTCAAAATGGACTCATTTTAGTCCTTTTTTGTCCCTAAGAAATTCAAAATGGACCCATTTTAGTCCCATTTACTCTTAATTATATTAGGTATGCATGTCTGCACCCAACTCATCCACAACTTCCACAACTATGTAACAAAATTGTGTGCTAATTTTTGTGTTTGACGTCTAATATCAATTTCCATTTTATAGTTTAAAACCTTGGATTAGTAGCTAGCGGTTAGAGGCAAGATTGACAACTCATGTCCAATGCAAAGTAAGCGTTGCATTAATGTCATTTGATGATTTGCAAGATAACATTTTCTTATAGTACCTTGTATTAGTTTTTGTCTGATAATAAGAATTTGCACAGCTTTACTAGTCCAAATGAGATCAAACTCTTGATGCCTTAGCTTTCTTGACCAATACAGACTTTTCTTTGGAAGCACAGATTCGGAAATGAACATAATTAGTGTTTCCATCTGAAATCCGTAAGATGTAACAAGCAGCACAGTAGATTAGATTTGATTTTAACCTTTTTTCTTTTTCTTTTTAACTTATCTTCTCTATGATTTTTTTCTATCCAAATTCACTGTTAACATCGTAAGTAATTGAATTACCCTTATCCATTTTACTTCTATTTTTTTTTTTTTTTTTTGATAACACATTTTACTTCTATTTTACATGTATAAAAAGTTGTTAATCTCATATAAAGATCTTGGTCACCAACAACAAACTGTTTTTAATAATTTAATGGTTTTGACTAAAATTTGAATGATATTAGTGTAAGCAAAATAATGATAAAATGAACAAGTTTATTTAACTGAATGATAAAAATTATAAGAGAATGTTATCAAAAAAAAAATAAAAAAAATTATAAGAGAAATAAGTGACGGGGGATAAAAAAATTAGAAAATTAATGATAAAAGAATAAATCGCATTATTTTTGAACTTTTCTTCATAAAATCTAACATGTGTATTCAATGTGCTATAATCTTAGGAGATTTATTGAATTAGGATTTTAAAAGACTTTTTGAGATAAAAAATCTTATAGATTTTAAATGACATTTTAGAATTGGAGAGACTTTATAGACTTTTTTAAAAGACTTTTTTTACAATCAAGATTTCATAGGATTGAATTTTAAAGGATTTTAATAGAATTCATAAGATTTGAAAGGACAATATGGATTTATAAGATTTTAAAATACCATATGAATTTTTAACAAACATTCAAAATTACAAGAGTCATTACAAAAGGGAAAAGTTATCCTTCATTGCAAATTAATTATTAATTAATAAGTTTGATTTGCAAAAGTAATAACCATTGATTGACGAAATCAACGGTTAAGATATGGTTGTAAAAGGTTGTAGACAAAAATAGGTTATAAGTATAATCTTTCCTCTAAAAAAAATAACAAAGAAATACAATGAAATTAATAAAAAAAGTAAAACCAAATATAATTTTCTCAATCAGTAAAACATAATGGGGAAGGATATACTTACCAAAAAAAAAAGTTTACAACCTTTACAACTAATTTAATCACCATTGATTTTCGTCAATTTAACGGTTATAATTTATTGGAAATTATTAGGTCGTATTTATTAATTCCCAATAAAATATAACTGTTAGATTAAAGGAAATCAATAGTGATTAGGTTGGTTGTAAATGTGGTAAAATATTTTGGTGGTAACTAGTATATCCTGCCCCAAACATTAATATAATTTTTAACAAACATTCAAAATTATTAAACAACAGCTTTTCACATATCTAATGGATTGAAAATCATCTTCTTCATTTGGTATCAAAGTTATGCATATATGATTATAATACCCAATTTTTTTAATTATAAAAATAATTCTAAATTTGCATATAGAACCTAAAGTTAATGATAAAATTTCGTTTGAAATTTTTTGCAGATGATCTTGAAAACCTTGGGTTTTTTTTTTTAATTTTCTAACCATATATCATATGCATATTTTCTTTGAATATTACGATAATTATGAATATGAAATTTTGGGTTTAATTACATGAAAGTTTAGGAAAAATTTCAAATTTTTTTCAATCGATACATTGAAACCTTAAATTGCTTTGGGACTTTTGAGAAACAAGATTTTAGTTATCTATTGACTCAAAAATTGTTTGAAATCGTTTCCTATAGTGAAAGAATTTCGTTCATGAATGTATTGTTAGGAAATATAGGGTTCATATTATGAAAGTTTCAATCTTTCTTTAAATTGATATTGTTTCATTGATGTAAAACGAAAAAAATACGAAAGTTTCCCTGTTATTTTTTCACTGTTTTATGTTGTTTCTAATACAAAAACACATTTTTGTGTCAAGAAAAACTGCGACCATAGCTTGAAAAATTACTTTTTAAACTTTCAAAATTTCTAAAAAATGGCTCAAAAATATGTTATTTTTAAGATAGATTATATTAAAATCTCGTTGGTATGTTGTTTCTGGGTTATTTGTGATGAAAATCGCACAAAAATATGCTATTTTTTTTTAGTTTTGACGAAGCTCCCATGCGGAACTCAATTTCGAGCAGTCAACCTACCAAAGGAAAAAGAAAACACTGCAATAGAAGAATCTAACGAGAGGCATCTTATTTATATTTTTCACTAAAAAATCTAACGAAATTCACACAAGTAGAAAATCCATTAAAATTGTCGGATTTTTGAATACCACGAGATTGTGATTCCATTGTTTAAAATCTTGATTGAATACCAACAGATTTGGACGGATTCTAAAATAGTCCTTTAAAATCCTAATCGAATATCACGTGACTTTTTTTCAATCCATCAAAATTTCAATTGAATACCAACGGATTTTTTTTTCCAAAAATAATACATTAAAATCTTTTGAAATCTCAATCCATTACGTTCTCTAATTATACTTTTAATTATCTTTTTGAGACGAGTTGGCTCCCTCCGGTATTCCCACGAGCTTCGACTCTTTGAGCCGGCTATGAGACTAATCCGGAGTGCGGGGGAACAGTGATAGCTAAAGGTTCAGCCCCCTCCCCAAGAATGCATTCAGCGGAAATCAAACACATATCCAATCCCACTAACTCAGCGCCAAGTTGTTCTCTAATTATAGTGAACGCACTTAAGGGTCGATTAGAATTTCTCAAAAGAATAGTAAAGAAATTCTCAGTAAATTTGGCCGACATATGAATGGTACCGAGTCTTATCGTCCTTTAATTCGTTGTGGCCCTGGCCCACTCGTGATGATTAGTTCATGATATGTTTGATAACTATTGCTTGTGTAATCAATATTTTTTATTATGAGGTTATGATAAATGTGAGATACTTTAAAGAAAATATTTTAGAATTAGGGTTCTTTTTTATCATGTTATAAAAATTTCTGTAATTATTTTTTAACTATGTATTTTCAGAAGTATATAATTATATTAAAGTTATTTTTTTAATTATGCATTTCTAAAAGTACAAAATTAAAATTTATTACTAATTTTTTTAATTATATATTTTCGAAAATATATAATTAAAAAATATTGCAAAATTTTTTGTAAAATGGAAAACACATTTACCTTATAATTATTATGATGCTATGATAAATGTGTTATTTGGATTTGTCATTTTTATTCTGATAATTTATTCCTTGTTATCCTTATGCGTAGCCCTGAGCACAAATATGCGAAAATGGGAGGCACGCGCGTATGGGTACGTGTCAAGTACATTGATACGTACCAACATATGCATAATTTATATGTTGCAGCTAGCTAGGTTCTTCTTATACAGCCTGGGTCAAAATGGTGTTGAAAATAAAATAAATTTTCAATACCCTTGTAAATTTAAAGACTCGGTGAATAAAATTAAAAATTCATAACTCATTTAATTGTATTTATTTTCTAATTTTAGATGGAAAGTATTTACTAAAGTTTCTCGTTCTGGTTAACATACGATATTTAACTTTTCATTAAATTCCACAACTTTTTATCTTATATTCCATTATATATATATATATATATATATATATATATATATATATATATATATGTGTGTGAGACAAGATTATTTGATATTAGTATCAAATTTTTTAATTTAACACTTCATCTGAACCATTGATTTTTGAATCTAATGATTGTAATTTATTAGGTTATATTTATTAATTAATTATTAATTCTCAATAAATTATTGTCGTCAAATCAATGAAAATCAACAATTCAAATGATGTGTCAAATTAAAAAGTTTTACACCAATGTCAACAAGTCAGATTGGCAGAAATCAATGATTCAGATGGAGCAGGGTATTCTTATGCCAGTGTGAAAATAAGAAATCTTACACCAAATTTGGACCATTGATTTATTTGC